TGCTCCGTTTTGGGGCGAAAAAATTGACAATATTAACTTCAAACGTAAGATTCAATCCATACAACGACCGATACTCATCAGAATGTGTAGAGCATATAGGACAACGTCCAACGCAGCATTGCAAGTATTAGCAGGGTGTACTCCATTATACCTGAAAGTTAAAATGCTAACATGGACATGGACATTCAACAATATACAGATTACAAAAGAAGGCCTCAACAATCTTACGAAGTATGCGGATATCGGTTGCCTCCCTAATCTGGATTATAATTTTTTACAGACCTTTGTCAATAATGGAATAATCAAAGAGAAATCTAAATACGTTCACCCAACAAATAACTACAAGGCTGACATCACTGATATTAATGCAGAACCATACCCTACTAACTTTATCTTTACGGATGGTTCCAAAAACAACAGAAATGTAGGAGCATCTTTTATTCATTTTAAACATGGCAATGCAAACTTCAAACATGAAGCCGGCTTTAAACTAGCCAGCTATTGCTCTGTTCCTGATGCCGAATTGTACGCTATATTTCAAGCTATCTCTTACATTTACACATTGAAAGACTACAAAGGACATCTACGTATATGTACGGATAGCCAAACCTCACTTCGTCGTATCAACAGTGACTATTTTGATTGCGATATGATAAATAACATTTGGAATAAGTTGAAGAATATACACAACTATAAAATCAGCTTCGCTTGGGTTAAAGGCCACAGCGGGGTGCAGGGAAATGAAGAAACAGATAGACTAGCGAAAAAGCATGCTAATGAGAATGGTGAGATCATCTATACTGCTCTTACCAAGAAAAACATCAAGGATCTGATTCAACAAACTTCCCTTCAGCTGTGGCAAGTGGATTAGGAAAATGGTGATACAGGAAGAATCACCTTTAAATTTTTCCCATGTATTCAACAGCGCCTTGCCATGAAACATTTGAATATTGGTTACATCATGACACAGACATTCACCGGACACGGGAATCTGAAGCACTACCTTCATCGATTCGGTCTTTCTGACGATGAAACATGCAGTTGCAATGGTGCATCGGTCCAAGATGTCGATCACTTGATCTTCTACTGCAGCAACTATAACAGAGAAAGAAGCTCTTTAATTCAACAAACATTGCAACACGGGTTCAATTGGCCATGCGAACTACACCATCTCGTAACTGAAAAACAACTCTTTTATGAACTTCAAACTTTTATTAAGAAGACTAAAGCGCTTGAGACGAATTTTAAAAGAACACATTAGTATTCTTGTCTCTACACCCTATATCGATCTACATGGTTCAGTTGCCCCTACATTTGTTTCTAATTATTTTGTACTAGACGGGGAAAAGCCGTATTTGTTATAACCTTTTCGATATGTAGTTTAAGTTAATTTATTGTAATACTTTACTTTCGGTGATAATTGTAAGATTCAAATTTCATCAATGTATAATTTATGTTTTTTGATGGCGAGGAGCCATATTTGATTAATACATTAATTAATGTTGTCTAATTACTATTGTATTTTCGATTAGTAAATTTGATCATTCTATGTGTAATCATTTTTCCTTAAAATATTTTGTTAAAAGTTTATTTATCGTCTGTATTCTGACAGGCAAGAACTGTATTTGTTCAAAATATTGATTTATGTTCTGTTTTTTCCGTTAAAATTGTTTTCAAACTATGTGTAATCAAACTGTCTTCAATTGTACATACTGTAAATATTGCAATTATTGTCTGTATCTGATGGCCAGGAGCCGTATCTGTATGTTTTATTTGATTCTTAATAAAACAGGCTGGGCGCCCATGAAACTTTCCCTTTTCATCCTTTTTCCTATCTCGCTTTACTCTTTCCCCTTCGCCTCTTCCCTTAACTACCTTTCCTCTACTCTTCTTCACACTCGGGCAATACCAATGAGTAGTCCCGAGTTTTCATCCCCTTTATGAAAATGAAAATGACGGACCAACGATTAAGAGTCTGAATGGATGTTTGGGTAATAATGGATTCTGATTAGGATCTTCATATTCATCTAGTTCTGTATAATCTTTTATCTTTATCATTTATTTGTTTAAAAATTTCAGCTTAATATTTATCTTGAGCTAAATGTTATTTAACTTAAGCAAAAAGATATTTAGCTTGAACTAAATGATATGCTAATTTTTTAGCTTAGTAAATGGATGAAAAGATAAAGAAAGCGTTACTTACTTTAGCTAAGCAGAACAGAGCACTAAGAAAGAAGAATGAAGAACAATTATTAAGTAAAGCAAAAGATTTTTAATTAGCGCGTAAAATAAACTGTTGTTTTGTTTTAAATGGTGTCGTTACTCGACTTAGCCAACGTCTTATCGTCGACCCCTCCGACTCTCCTCCATCGCGTAACGCGTAACTGAACGAAACG